AGCATACTTCCTGCTGAGCACAGAGCCTGACTTGGGGCTCGATCTCACCACCCCGAGATCATGAGCTGAGCTGAAATCAAGAGTTGGATGCTTACCCGACTGAGCCACCCGGGTTCCCCTTACTGTGTCTTTTCCCACCCTATTCAAGCTCTGTCCAGGTTAGAGAAAAATCAGCTACCTGACTTTGAAGATTCTCGTCTCTTTTAATGATCTTAGTAAGTTTGGGCTGCTGTAATAGAATATCACAGACTTATATACAACAGAAATTTGTTTCTCATGGTTCTGGCGGCTAGAAATGTGATATCACAGTGCCAACATGGTTGGATTCTGGTGAGGTCCTTTTCTGGGTTGAGGACTGCTGACTTCCTGCTGTGTCCTCACATGGCAGAAACGGGGTAAGGAAGTTCTCTGGGGCTCATTATGTAAGGGTACTAATTCCATTCATGATGGTTCCACCCTCAAGACCTAATTACCTCCCAAAGGTCCCACTTCCTAATATTATAACCTCAGGGATTAGGATTTCAATTTATGAGTTTTGGGGGGACACAAACATTCAGTCCATTGCAATGATCATATGAATTATTAAGTATATGAGTTCCTGCCTCTGTCCCTCACCCCTTCCCAGTGTGACCCTTCAACTAATTCTTAGTGCCAACCTTGTGCCAGCCACTGTTCTGGAGGGAGATGCAAGATAGACAAGTTCTGCCTTCATTGAAATTACGTTCTAGTGGAAAAGACAGTAAGTAGTACAATAAATAAATAAATGTATAATGTAATGTGAAGTAATGGGTAGATGTTATAAAGAAAACTAAAACATACTGAGATCCAGAGGGGTGCTGTTTGAGATAGGATGATCAGGCAAGGTTTCTCTGAGAGTGTGGTGTTTGGGCAGAAATTTGAGTGAAGTAAGCAAGACATGCAAGTGTATGGAGGAAAAAGAGTTTCAGGTCTAGAGAATAGCAAGTGCAAAAGTCCTGTCACATCTCAGATTCTCCAGAAAGCAGATGTTAAGACAGAGTTGGAAGGACAAAGGATTTACTGGGGAGTAACACCTATGAAAGGGAAAGGAAGGAAATAGGATTGGGCAGAGGAGCCATCAGACTTGCATGCACCTCTCAAATTCTTTGCCAGCCCAATGGTTCCAGAGCAGTACACCAAGGAGAACTGATACAACATTCTGCATTTGGTGGAGGAAATGACCAGGCCTTTCTGCCCAACTTTGCTCGGTCATTTGACCAAGGACTGTCCTGAGAACAGAGCGCTCTCAGCTGAGGAAAGCTGAGGTGGGCCTTGAGGAAGCTAATACTGGAGTTGTAAGTTAACCATGCTTCTTGTAGTTTGGGCAGAAATTCCTTTCTTTGAAGGGGAATCTGGGTGGTCCATCTCTGTTTCTGCCACAGACCCTTAAAACAGAAATATGCTCGGTGTGTTCAAGGAACTGCAAGAAAGCTAACGTAGCTGGAGAAGCATGAGAGGGAGGGATAAGGGTCATGGCTAGGAACGTAGCAGAGGGCCAGAGCAAGCAGCGTCTGTGGGCTGTGGGAAGATGTTGGAGTTCATTCTCAGTCTGGTAGAAAGCCATTAGAGGATTTTGAGCAGAGGAATGACGTATGTTTTACATTTTGAAAGGATCTATCTGCCATAAGCCATTGTGTCTGTTTACCTATTGCTGTACAACAAACCACTTCAAAACTTATTGGCTTAGAACAGCAGTGGCTTATTTTTCCTCAGTTCTGTGAATGTCCTGCTGGACTCACCTGAACTCACTCACCTGGTTGGATCTGGGTGTTTTAAGATGGCTTCACCCACATGTCTGGACCTCACCTGGGACAGCTACAGTCACTGGGATGGCTAAGCCTCTCTCCATTTGTTCTTTCATCTTCTGCTGCTTCATGTGAAGGTGGAAGTGTTCCAAAAATTCAAGCTCTACTGTGTAAGCACTTTTCCAGCCTCTACGGGCATCAGGTTTGCTAGTGTTCCCTTGGCTAAAACAAGGCAGATGTCCCAGCCCAGAGTCTACATGGAAGGAGAATATATGAGGGTGTGGATATCTGGAAGTGTGATTCATGGAGGCCATTGCTGTAACAGTTTACCATATTAAATATAGTTTTAGTTACCTCCTTTTTTCTGATCCTCTACTCATCAATTTATCCTCTGTGTATAATTTAGCTTCCTACATAAGTGTGTTTACAAGAAAATAATGTACCAGTTCCATAGACTTCACATATTTCCTATTGCTGGGATAGCAATTTCTTACTGTAAAAGAATAAATTGGCTGGTTTCAAGGACAAAATGCCCACTACATGGACTTTGATTATTTCTTACTAGATCACTGTGGCCTGGGGACCCTCCTAGCTAAGAATTATTGTGCCACTGTGATCCTTCTCAAGACTATAATGGTGTATGTGTAAATGTGTGACTTCTGTTACTTCCACTGCTGATGGAGCTGCATTGAGATTTTTAAAAAAATGTATTGAACCGAAGAACTCTCATTCATTGCTGGTGGGAATGCAAAATGGTACAGCTACTTTGGAAGATGGAGTGGAAAACTAAACATACTCTTACCATACTATTCGGTAATCGGCACTCCTTGATAGTTACCCAAATGTGTTGAAAACTTTTGTCCACACAGAAATGTGCATACAACATTTTAGCAGCTTTCTTCATAACTGTCAAACCTTGGAAGCAATCAAGGTGTCCTTTATAGGTGGATGGGTAAATAAAATGGCATACCAAGGTAATGGAATATTATTCAGCACTGAAAAGAAATGACCTATCGAGCCATGGAGGAAACTTAAATGCATATTACCAAGTGAAAGAAGCCAATCTGAAAAGGCTACCTACTATATGATTCCAACTATATGACATTCTGGAAAAGGCAAATTGTGGATACAGTAAAAGGATTGGTTTCTAGAGTTTTGAGGGGAGGAAGGGATGAATCGAGCACAGAGGATTTTTAGGGCAGTGAGATGATTCTGTATATAATAATGTTTGGCATATGTCATTATGTGTTTGTCTAAATCCATACAATGTACAAGACCAAGAGTGAACTCTAAATTATGTGATAGTGACCTGTCAGTGTATCTTCATCAGTTGTAACAAATGTATCACTCTGGTGAGGGAAGTTCAAAGTGGGGGAGGTTGTGCACTTGTGGGGAAAAGAGGCACATGGGAATTCTTTGTACTTTCTGCTCCATTTTACTGCCAGTATCCAAAACTGCTCTAAAAAATTGAACCAGTAGTTATCATTTTTCCTCAAAGAGTCAGCTTGATATCAGTCATCATGATCTAAACTTTGTAAGCCATTTGGCAAGAATTTAACTTTATTATTTTTTTAATTTTTATTTTTTTAAAGATTCTATTTATTTTTTTGACAGAGAGAGACACACAGCGAGAGAGGGAACACAAGCAGGGAGAGTGGGAGAAGCAGGCTTCCTGCAGAGCAGGGAGCCCGATGCGGAGGGCTTGATCCCAGGACCCTGGAATCATGACCTGAGCTGAAGGCAGACGCCCAATGACTGAGCTACCCAGGCGCCCCTAACTTTATTTTTTTTTAATAGCAGTTTCAGGTTTACCACAGAATTGAGAGGAAGGTACAGAGACTTCCCATGTATCCCTTGCCTGCACACATTCCCCCCTTATCAGTATCATCCCACCAGAGTGGTATGTTTGTTATAATTTGTTACAATCTATATTAACACAGCACCCTAAAAATCCTGTGCTCAGTCTATATGTTCCTCCCCCACCATTTTGTTCATTTGACAAACTTTTTAAAAAAATTTTTTTATTAACATATAATATATTATTGGTTTCAGGGGTATAGGTCTGTGATTCAACAGTCTTACACAATTCGTAACGCTTACCATAGCACATGCCCTCCCCAGTGTCCATCACCCAGCCACTCCATCCCTCCCATCCCCCTCCCCTCCAGCAACCCTCAGTTTGTTTTCTGAGATTGAGTCTCATATGGTTTGTCTCCCTCTCTGGTTTCGTCTTGTTTCGTTTTTCCCCTCCCTTCTCCTATGATCCTCTTTCTTGTTTCTCAAATTCCACATATCCATGAGGTCATATGATAATTGTCTTTCTCTGATTGACTTATTTCGCTTAGCATAATACCCTCTAGTTCCATCCACGTTGTTGCAGACAAGATTTCAGTTTTTTTGATGGTCTGCGTAATATTCCATTGTGTATATATACCACATCTTCTTTATCCATTCATCTGTCGATGGATATCTTGGCGCTTTACATAGGTTGGCTATTGTGGACATTGCTGCTATAAACATTGGGGTGCATGTGCCCGTTTTGAATCACTTGGATCTTTGGGGTAAATACCCAGTAGTGCAATTGCTGGGTCGTAGGGTAGCTCTATTTTCAACTGTTTGAGGAACCTCCATACTGTTTTCCAGAGTGGCTGCACCAGCTTGCATTCCCACCAACAGTGTAGGAGGGTTCCCCTTTCTCCGCATCCCCGCCAACATCTGTCGTTTCCTGACTTCTTAATTTTAGCCATTCTGATGGGTGTGAGGTGGTATCTCATTGAGGTTTTGATTTGTATTTCTCAGATGCTGAGGGTTGTTGGGCACTTTTTCATGTGTCTGTTGGCCATTTGGATGTTTTCTTTGGAGAAATGTCTGTTCATGTCTTCTGCCCATTTCTTGATTGGATTATTTGTTCTTTGGGTATTGAGTTTGATAAGTTCTTTATAGATTTTGGATACTAGCCCTTTATCTGATGTATCATTTGCAAATATCTTTAGACAAACTATCTTAAGTGTAGCTGTGGACTTTATTAATTGGGTATTAGCTGCTGTAATTTTTACAGATTGACTTAATTGGATCAGGTCAAGGTTTCTGTGTTACATATAAAGCAGAACTATTGTGAAGGAAAACATATATTTTTGATAGTAATACAGATTAATTAAAACAGAATATGAAGAATTCTGCATTCTTCCTCCTGAAAATTAGTAATCAATACTCTTCAAATGTTTTCTGTTTTGCCAGATACTGACAATATGAAGCCACTGGAGGGTGTAAAAATTCTGGATCTAACAAGGTTTGTATTGGTTTATCTGGTTTTGGTGATTGAATTTTTCCTTTCTTTAAAAAAATAACCGTTCATTTGTTTTTTGGATTATAATGCTTACTTATCAAAGTTTTAGAAAGGAACACAAAAAAGAAAAATCTTTATAATTTCATTATTCTAAGAGACAGTATATTTGTGCATTTTTCCAATCTGCATATTTATATATAATTTTTAAAAACAAAAATTAGAACCATATTGAAATTACAGTTTTAGGGGCACCTGGGTGGCTCAGTTGGTTAAGTGTCTGCCTTCGGCTCAGGTCATGATCTCAGGGTCCTGGGATCGAGCCCCGCATCAGGCTCCCTGCTCAGTGGGGAGTCTGCTTCTCCCTCTCCTCTGCCCTTTCCCCTACTCATGCTCTCTCTCTGAAATAAAAAAATAAAATCTTTAAAAAAAATGAAATTACAGTTTTACCCACATTTAAAAGATAATGTTATATTTTGTGTATTTTTCCATGTCATTCAAAATTTGAGAAAAAGGTAAGATGATACTTTATTATATAGTTGTCACATAATTACTCATCCCCCAGTATTTCACAATTATAAATTAGGTTTCCTTTTACATAAATTTTTGCCTCAGGGAATCTTAGGATTTCTTCCTTAGCATAGAATTCTGGAAGTGGAATTACTGCATCAATGAGAATATACTTTTTTTAAGTTTTTATTTATTTATTTATTTATTTATTTATTTGAGAGAGAGAGAGAGCATGTGCATGCGAGCGCATGATGGGGGAGGGGCAGAGGGAGAAGCAGATTACCAGCTGAGCAGGGCACGGATGCGGGGCTTGATCCCAGGACCTTGAGATCATGACCCAAGCCGAAGGCAGGTGCTTAACCGACTAAGCCACCCAGGCGCCCCAAGGGAATATACTTTTTTAAAGCTCATAGTACATAAGGCCAAATTGCTACTCTAAACAGTTTTAATAGTTTTAATTCTTACTAGCATTATATGAGCTTGTCTGTGTTAATGAGCTATTAAGAATTAATATAAAAATCTTCAAGGTGGTAATTATTTGTCATTGTTAATATTGTAGAGTATTGGCGGGACCTTTTGCTACTATGAATTTAGGAGATCTTGGAGCAGAAGTTATAAAAGTGGAAAGACCAGGTAAAGCTATCACTCCCTTTAAAACATAGAAATTAATGCAGTTTTTTCTTTTCTAATGATTTTATTAAGTAATCTCTGAAGCCAACGTGGGGCTTGAACTCACAGCCTGAGATCAAGAGTCACATGCTCTTCCAACTGAGCCATCCTGGTACCCCAAACTGATACAGTTTTTAACTGTTGTTGTTGTTGTTGTTTTTAATAACCATGTATCTGTATATGGGATGAGAGAATTGAAATGAAATGATTATTTTTTCTTCTCTATTCCTTTATTTTGCTCTGACCCTAGACTAATGATTTCTTCTTTTTATAAGCTCCCAGGGCTAAAGCTTCAGCCAGGCCCTTCACACGTACCTGAAAGCCTCCGGTAGAGACTGAAATGCACCATGTAGTAATAGTGATGGTAACGCTTATCATGGTGTCAGGCACAGGTCTCAGCACTTTGCCTGTATTAATTTATTTAATCTCTACAATAACCTTATGGGCTGATGTTTTATTATGCCTAGATTATAAATGAGAAGACAGAGACACAGAGACATAAAGCAATTTGTCCAAAGTCACACAGCTAATAAGGAGTATCCATGCACTCAGCTCTGGTCCTGGCCCTCCTTAGCCCCACACAAGCCTTACCATTGAGACTGAGTTTAAGAGTTGGCCTGGCCACACTCCCTTGCTGGGGAATGAAGGGAAGGCCAGGCGGAGGGGAGGGTAAAGGGAGGAAGCAGGGCACACAAGAAGGAGAGAAAGAAAAGGAATCAGAGTCCTTCTAAAAGTAACCCAGATACTCCGATATAAAAGTCATTCTTGGGGCGCCTGGGTGGCTCAGTCGTTAAGCATCTGCCTTCGGCTCAGGTCATGATCCCAGGGTCCTGGGATCGAGCCCCGCATCGGGCTCCCTGCTCCGCGGGAAGCCTGCTTCTCCCTCTCCCACTCCCCCTGCTTGTGTTCCCTCTCTTGCTGTGTCTCTCTCTGTCAAATAAATAAATAAAATCTTAAAAAAAAAATAAAAGTCATTCTTTTCTGTTTTTAATAAAACAAACGTTTTCTCATTTTATAATTTTAAAGATTTTGCAGGAGAAACATTGAAGCTGAGATTAGTTTTGTTTTTGTTTTTCATCTCACATCTTTCCCATTTGTCCACCAAATAAATCTATTCTGTGTACACAATTCTCACTTTTGTTTGGTACCTTCTTAGTATTTTGGTTTTTAGCTCATGCTTTTATTGAAAGTTGTTTAAACCAATGTTATGTATGCTCTTTCTCTCCTACAAGCACTTAAAGGGCAGAGTCCATGTTCTCAAATCCTCCACATCATCCTATAAAGAGCTTGTTGTGGAGGGTTTCAAAACTTAGCATTATTATTTATTCTTCAAGTTGGATCCTTATGGATATGGAACAGAATTACCAAATCAGTGAAAATGGTCTAGCCTTGAATAATGTGAGTATATTTGCAAGACTCATAAAAGATAAGTTTATAATTACATCACCTTATTAATCTCCCATAAGTGATTAAACGCTATAAAGTAGAATACTTGGTGTAGAAGATTCAACTTTCTGCTAAACAGATTTCTTAGGAGGCCAAAGCAATTAGCAGAAGATTCTCTGATCAGCATGGGGAATATTCTATATTATTATATTGTATTTATTTGACCCTATATTTATCAGGCTCCAACTGGTAGAAGAGCCTGGTGAATCCTACTTTCCAGATAAAAAGAATGCTTCATTTACCTAGTCAGTGATGTTTATCGCTTTTGGTTGTTGTGGGATACATGCTGAATAATGTTTACTTTCTTGCTGAATACCTTTTTTTTTCTTTTCCAGGTTTCATAAACTTTAATTTCCATGTTATTATGCTAATTCAACACCACAGCACTTTCTGATCTCAGCCATTGGGTCTTCCAATCCTAGACGGAGCATCCGATCTAAGTTCTCTTGCTCTTTCAGTTAATCGCTAGTCTAAATATTTGTATTTATATTAATTTTAGAGATCATTATTCCCTATTTATGTAGGCCTTATTTCTCCTTTGTACTTTTTCATTTCTTCAGTAGGGGGTACCTTCCTTTGTCTAGGCCTTTATATCCCATAATCATACACTTGGTATCGAGCTTTGGTCCTAGTAGGTCATTGTTCATTGTTTTTTCCCTGATTGCTCTCTTTCCCTTAACCCTTCTGTGTGATGCATTTTAATGTTTATATTATGTGTTTAACTGTTTTGGATTTTTGAGATAGTTATTCAACACAGATCTGAGGAAAAGTGACTTGGCAGGATTTTCAAAGTTCAGGAGAGAACTAGTCTTTTTTTCATGTCTACTTTTCCAGTTCGTCCATCTGTTCCTCTCTTCTCTTCTCCTCTTTTCTCTTCTCTTCTTTTCTTTCCTTTCTCTCTCTCTCTCTTTCTTTCTTAAAGATTTTATTTATTTAGTTGAGAGAGAGAGAGCATAGCAGGGGGAGAGGCAGAGGGAGAGGGAAAAGCAGTTTCCCCGCTGAGCAGGGAGCTGGATGCAGGGCTTGATCCTGGGACCCTAAGATCATGACCCGAGCTGAAGACAGACACTTAACCTACTGAGCCACCCAGGCACCCCTCCAGTTCTTTAATAAGTAAAATTTGGTTATAGTTTTCTGACTTGGGACTATTCTTATTTTTATAATCAAAGAGTACATAAATTTTCTTTTTCTTGGTTCTGTAGTAACCTAGGGAGGGCAGCAAATGATGTTGCTGGTACTCATGGATTGTGCCCCATAGGCAGGGATATGAGGGCAGGGGTGTGGTCTTTTGTTCACTGCTGTGTCTGCTCTGCCTAGAGCACTGTCTGTAGCATAGTAGATGCCCAATAAATATTTGCTGAATGGATTGAATGTGTTGAAATATTGCAGTCTGAAATTTTATATGAGATCTCCAGACTTTGAAATCATGGCAGCTAGTTAAAAACTTTAAATTGTGTGTGGGTCAAATAAAACATCTCTCAACTGCCAGTGTTCCCAGTTTATGACCTTTGGTCTTTCTTTCTTTCTTTTTTTTTTTTTTTGTTTCCTCGGCAAAGAACTTTATTAACCTTGTTTCAAACTTTATTCCCAGTCTTCTTCAGCTTAATTAGCTGCAAAAACTGAAAAGAGCTGTAGTGTCCAAGGGGCTTGGGCTTAAAAATATTAGAGATCTAGGTTTTATCAGATCCATGAACAAAATTTTAAAAAGCAGTCATAATATAAAATAGCAGCTCCCAGTAACTTCTTCAAGTTTTATCTTCTTCAGAAGTTGACTCAGTTCAGTTTGCTTCATTCTTGGAAGCTTCATCAAAATTCTCCACAAGATCTGGAATATCATCATCATCATCCTCTCCGGTAGCAAGTGGTGCTTTTCCATCCACAGATTGTTTGGGCAGAACTTCGGCCAGTCTTTCTTCAACCAGTCAGACTGTCTGCACCGAGTTGGTTTAAGATCCTGGGTAGCGTTTCTATCAGCTGCTTTGTCTCAGTGTAGCCTCAATGGTGAAAGTGTTCGCTGCCAGTGATGCCTGAACTTTGGGGTGGTTAGAGGGGATCTCTGTTCCTTGGTTTGTGAACATATCCACTTCTTCAATACCACAAATATAGTTTACCCCTAACTTCTTTAAGGAGAACTGAAGTTTTTTTATCATCTGCCGTAGTTCTGTGAACTACCACCTTCTTTTGGTGGGCAGTTCCTTTCCCACCAATGTGCACTTGTGCTTGCAGTTTGGTGAGTTTCTCCTGGTTCATGATAGTTTCTTTCATCCTGTTGGAGCAGAAGTGGGACCGCGTGGGGGAATAGGGTTGGCGCTCAGGGAGTCTCGAGTGGACCAGCTGAGATTAGGTGCACACACACGAGGACGCAAGATGGCAGCTCTTTAGTCTTTATTTCTTGGCACGTAACATCCATGCTGATTCTTTCCAGAGGCCACTGATCCTCTCTAAAGCCCTGGGTAGGAAAGCCACGTAGGCCTCCAATTAAGATTCCTGATATTATCTCCACCTGAGAGATGAATGTAAACATACAAAATTATCTAATTTTAGCCCTACCTTGACGTTGCTTTATTTAAAAAAAAAATTAATGTATTGGAAGCTTCAAAAAAATGGAAGTAGCTGGGCTTTCTCTTGACTCTGACAGGTCCTCTCTGGTCCTGAAGATCCAGATTCATACCTACCTTTTCATTGAAACCTCTTCTTACTGGTTTATTACTGGAAGATTGCCTTTCTGGGATCTTGTAGCTCATTTTTCCCCTGATGTTTTGGGCATGCCATTCCATTTGATGCTTACCATTAATTGCTTTGTTTTGTTACTGGTTCATTTCCAGTTAGAACTAATGCTTCTTTTTTTTTTTTTTAAAAGATTTTATTTATTAGAGATAGAGTGAGAGAGCATGAGTGGGGAGCGGGGGGCGGCACAGAGAGAGAGGTAGAAGCAGACTCCCCGCTGAGCAGGGAGCCTGATGCAGGGCTCCACCCCAGGACCCTGGGATCATGACCTGAGCTGAAGGCAGATGCTTAACAGACTGAGCCGCCCAGGCGCCCCTAGAACTAATACTTCTTTTCTCCTCTGGCCTGTGTCCTCTCTTTTCTCTTGTGAGGTTGTTTTTCTCTTTGTTTTTTTTTTAATAAATGAGTCTATTCTTTGGCCTCTTGTTTTGTTTCCAAAAGGCTGTGTCTGTTTTTCTTGATCAGTTTCAGTGGTAAAGTCTAATGGGCTAATAGATTAATTATATTATTTAGATGAGATTAGAATTTAAACTCTAACTCATATTCACAAGTAGTGTCTTCTTGGGGGCTAGTGATAAATAATTGTAATTACTTATATAGTGATTAGTTTCTGATATCAATATTTAATCAGACCTTATATTATAAAATCCTTAAAATAAGGATACTGTTTTGTGCCATTTAATCATTGATTGATTTTCTGAGCTCTGTCTACATTGTCAGTTGCTTTTTGTGCAAAGGAAAATTTTTCTGTAACTCTATAGTGTTATCTTTGAATCTAATACAAATATATCCCTTGAAGTAGATGTTCAGGAAAAAAACACCCTATATTTGATGGTTTTAAACTTTTACTTTGAAGCAAGACCTAGTTGACTAAAATTTTATTCTAGAATACTATTTGAAATTAAATGAACCTGCTATTCAAAACTTATTTTGCCATTTATGATTTGTTGCTATAACACAAAATTTTTTCCCAATTGTGTTGAGAAATAATTAACATACATCACTATGTAAGTTTGAGGCAAATGGCATGATGGTTTGATTTACGTACATTGTTACCACAGTAGGTTCAGCTAACATCCATCTTCTCATGTAGATAAAAGAAAGAAAGAAAAGAAAGAAGAAGAAAAGAAAGAAGAAAAGAAAAAAGGGAAACATATTCTTCTTTGATGAGATCTATTAGGATTTACTCTCTTAACAAATTTCATATATAACATACAGCAGTGCTAGCTTTGGTCATCATGTTGTATATTACATCCCTAGTGCTTATTTATCTTACGACTGGCAGTTTGTATTTTCTGACCACTTTTCTCCATTTCCCCTTCCCCCTACCCTCCACCTCTGGTAATCACAAGTCTGAACTCTTATTCTATGAGTTTGGTTTTTTTAAAAATTCCACATATAAGTGAGATCATACAATATTTGTCTTTGTCTGACTTATTTTATTTAATAATGCTTTCAGGGTCCATCCATGTTGTCACAAATGGTAGGATTTCCTCAATTTTTTATGGCTTAAAAGTGTTCCATTGTGTATATATACTACAACTTTATCCGTGCATCCAGCAATGGATACAGGTGTTTTCGTATCTTGGCTATTGTAAATAATGCTGCTATGAACTTGGGGTGCATATCTTTTTGAGTTAGTGTTTTTGTTTCCTTTGGATATATTCCTAGAAGTGGAATTGCTGGATCATATTGTAGTTCTCTTTTTAATTTTTTGAGGATCCTTCATACTGTTTTCCAAAGTGGTTGTATGAATTTACATTCCTACCAAAAGTGTACCTGGGGTCCCCTTTCTCCACATCCTCACCAACGTTTGTTTTGTTAGCTCTTGTCTTTTTGACGATGGTCATTCTAACAGGTGTGAGGTGATTATCTTATTGTGGTTTTAATTTGCATTTCCCTAATGACTAGTGATGTCAAGCTTCTTTTTCTGTACCTGGTGGCCTTTTGTCTCTTTTCTTTGGAGAAATATCTTTTTGGGTCCTTTGCCCATTTTTTGATTGGGTTATTTGTTTTTTTATTTGAGTTGTGTGAGTTCTTTGTATGTTTTGGGTATTAACCTGTTATCAGCTATAGGGTTTGCAAATATTTTTTTCCATTCTGTAGGTTGTCTTTTTACTTTGTTGATGGTTTCCTTTGCTGTGCAGAAGCTTCTCGGTTTGATGTAGTTCCACTTGTTTATTTTTTTATTTTTATTTTTTAAAAGATTTTATTTATTTATTTGACAGAGAGAGGCACACTGAGAGAGGGAACACAAGCAGAGGGATGGGAGAGGGAGAAGCAGGCTTCCCGCTGAGCAGGGAGCCCGATGCGGGGCTTGATCCCAGGATCCTGGGATCACAACCTGAGCCGAAGGCAGACACTTAACGACTGAGCCACCCAGGCACCCCTCCAAATGTTTATTTTTGATTTTATTGCTTGTGCTTAAGTCCAGAAGAATCATTACCAAGACCCATGTCAAGGAACTTTGTTCCTATGTTTTCTTCTAGGAATTTCATGGTTTTAAGTCTCATGTTTAAGTCTTTAATCCTTTTTGAATTAATTTTTGTGAGTGATGAATGGTGTAAGATATAGGTTCAGTTTCATTCTTTTACATGTGAGTATCCAGTTATCCCAGCGCCATTTGTTGAAAAGACTTGTCTTTTCTCCTTTGAGTGTTCCTGGTTCCCTTGTCAAACATTGGTTGGCCATATATGCTTGGGTTTATTTCTAGGATTTCACAGAAACTTAAAGATTTATTTATTTATGATGCCATTTTATTATAAAATCTCACTTGCCATTATTCTGGTTTAAATAATATTTAACAAAAATCTTTTGCAGACTCAGCATTTCTTTGCACATTTAATGCCAAGAAGCATAGAAAGAGCTGACCTAAACTGCCAAAGCTTTTTACTTTTTGACCTAAACTGCTGAAGATTTTTACTTTTTGCTTGCCAAAAACTGAGAGTAGTTTTTTCTTTTAAATTTGACATTTATTAAATCTAAAGACTGCTAATAGGATATTTCTTTCTGGATATTGACTTTCAGGGATGGATTCTAGTAAAGATGATATGGTAGGATTTAGTGAATAACATGAGCAGGTAGAGTTTGGACAGTTCCAGCAAGTTCTTATGGTCCCTCTAAATTGTGAATTCCACTGAAGTGAGCTGATTTTGTTTAGGCACCTGTGAATGTATATGATGGGTGAACGTTGGTTTGGATGTCTCATGATGTTTAAGAGTTAAATATTAATAGCTCATACTATTATTTTCAGGAGCTGGTGATGATACACGAACTTGGGGGCCACCTTTTGTGGGGACAGAAAGTACTTATTTTCTCAGTGTTAATCGAAATAAAAAAGTAAGAATATAATTTCTTTCTCTGTTTTTTTGTGTAATTCTCTTGTAATAACAAAACTTTTGATATCATCTTGGCTCATTCATTTCTATCCTTTTTTGTGTATATAATATTTAAAATAAGGTGAAATTTTATTCATTCACCAGGTACCAAATAGAAACAAGAGAGCTTTTTACTAATCTTCCTTCTATACTGACTTTAAATATTTCACGAGAATTTGTAATTGTTTATAATGGAAATAATTTTATTAAAGAAAGAAATTATTTGATTCTGTACATTTTATTCTTTTGGAGATTGCTAATTGCCTAACTTGGTATTATTTGAAAAATTTTTACTGTTATCCTTGGTATCATCCTAATATAGTCACACTGCAAATAAAATCAGTAAAGATAATTTAAATGTTTCTTCATGAGGAAAATACACTTGCTTTAAGAGGAGAACACAGGATATGAATGGCTCCCTTATTGAACTGTCAATAATATGAAAACCTTTATGATACTATTTTAATATATATATTTTAATTTTTAGAGTATAGCTGTTAACATCAAGGATCCAAAAGGGGTGAAAATCATCAAAGAGGTACAGTATGCTCTATGGAAGACATCTTACCACCTGGGTTTTAACTGGGGATTTGAACATCAGAGTAAAAGTGTTTTAAAACTTTATTTCATTGGCAATCTCTAATTTTGCTATAAATACCATTTAAGAGTTTAAGGTGATTAACATAACGTAATAAAATAAAATTAAAAAAAGTTTAACTTTACATTTATTGTGAGTAAATTTGCTTTCTAATTTCTTGTATGTTGTGTATAATATTTCTCTACTCTGTGAAAGTTTTCAGTTATAATGCTATCTAATGTTGACTGAATGCCTACTCTGCATCCCATCTTAGGATTGGGTATTTTCCATATATTATCTCCTCAAATCCTCAGAATTTGACTTGTAAATGGGTATTAGAATCCTCATTTTCATGGTAGGGAAATGAGTCTCATGGGGCTCATGTGATGCTTCAAAGATTAAATAGCTGGTAAAGGCAAGAGCTGAAATTTGAACCCAGTGAGGTGGGTCACATCACTGGAGAGCCCAAGCTTTTTCTAACGTTTATTCAGATGGCTAATATGTCCACAACTGATCTCAGCATCTCTCTTTGAGGGGCAAGATTGTGTAATGGTTTGGCACACACCCTAATGCCCCACTGCTGAGATTCTCTACTTACTAGCTATGTGACTTCAGGTAGGTTACTTAGGTTTGTTTTTTGGTTGTTATTTGACTTCTTTATGCCTCAGTTTCCTTATCAGTAAAATAGGGATAATAATAGTACCTACTTCTTAAGGTTGTTGTTAGAATTGAGTTAATTTATGTAAAATGTATAGAAGAGTGCCCCCCATAGTTAGTACTCAGTAAGTATTAGCTATTATTGTTCCCGATGCACATGAAATTGGATTCATCATGTGAGATAAAACTTGCTTGTCATCTTTGTTAAAGTTTAAAATCTTATCTAATGAAGGAGGAGGAACAAGATGCAGAGGAGTAGGAGACCTGGATTTCGTCTGGTTCCAGGAATTCAGCTGGATAGGGATCAAACCATTCTGAACACCTATGAACTCAACAGGAGATCGAAGAAAAGAATAGCAGCAACTCTCTGAACAGAAAAACAACCACTTTCTGGAAGGTAGGATGTGAGGAGAAGTGAATCCAAGGCGATATTTGGGAAGATAGACGGCGGGGGAGGGGCCTCCGTCGGCCGTTACTGGCAAGCGATAGAGAACTTTTAGAAGTCAGCTCTGCTGAGGGACGTCGCTCCAGTGGCTAAGCAGGGGGTGGAACCCTCGCGGGACAGTGTGGTCTCAGGACCCTCGGGGTCACAGAAAGACCGGGCGTGCCTGAGTGCGGCAGAGCTCCCAGGTATCGGAGCGGGGAAGCCGGCTGCAGATATGGAGCCAAGACGCGGGCTCTCAGCTCGGGGTTAACCGTGATCCACGGCACAGGCCACTGCTCCTCCAGCAGGGACCCAACAAGCGGCAGATCTGGGGAGACTCCCCTTCCTCCTCCAGGAGGAGCGGCGCGGGAGCACAGCGCAGGAATCTGCTAGGTTTGGAGACTACACGTGGGGTCATGCGCCAGAGATACAAACGCGCGGTCACAGGCCGGGTGAGCATGGAGTGCTGCCGGAGACCGGGGAGACGGGAGTGACTGACTGCTTTTCTCTGGGGGCGCACTGAGGAGTGGGCCCCAGGGTCTCGGCTCCTCTGGGGCGGAGCTTGGGAGACCTCCATTTTCACTCTCATCCTCCAAAGCTGTACGAAAGCTTGCAGGGAACAGAAGCTCCCGAGAGCAAACCCGAGCAGATGACTTAGCCCGCCCCGGCAAGGGCGGGGCAGTTCTGCCTCCAGCAAAGACATTTGGGAACCACGGCAACAGACCCCTCCACCAGAAGATCAGCAAGAACAGCCAGCCAAGACCATATTTACTGATCAATGAGAACGGCAGAACTCCAGCACGAGGGGAATGCTGCACATAGAAGTCATGGCTTTTTTCCCCATGATTCTTTAGTCTTTAAGAGTTAATTAAAAAAAATTTTTTTTTGAATTTTTCTTTTTCCCTTTCTCAACCAACGACTTATCAATCCCTTTTTTAAAAAATCTTTTTTATTTTTCATTTTTAGAGTCATATTCTTTCCCTTCATAGTATGTAACCTTATTTTTGGTATGTATATGTTGTTCTCTCTTTAAAATATTGGGATACAGTTTCTTCTAACAAACCAAAATATACCCTAAATCTCTAGTGTATGGCTTTGGTCTAGTCACCTGCCTGAACACATTCTCTCCCCCCCTCTTTTTTTTTTAAATCCTCTTCTTTCGGGTGCCTGGGTGGCTCAGTTGGTTAAGCGACTGCCTTCGGCTCAGGTCATGATCCTGGAGTCCTGGGATCGAGTCCCGCATCGGGCTCCCTGCTCAGCAGAGAATCTGCTTCTCCCTCTGACCCTCTTCCCTCTTGTGCTCTCTGTCTCTCATTCTCTCTTTCTCAAATAAATAAATAAAATCTTAAAAAAAAATAAATAAATCCTCTTCTTTCTTTTTCAACTTATCAATTCCTTTTATAAAATCCATTATAATTTTCATCTTTACAGTCATATTCCATCCCTTCAGCGTATTTACCCTTATTTTCGTACATATATAAGCTTTTCTTTCTTTAAAAGTTTGGGAGGCACGTTCTTCTAACAGACCAAAATACGCCCCAAATCTAGTGTGTGGCACTGATCTATGCACCAAGCTGATCGTATTTGATCATATTCTTTTTTTTTTTTATCTTTTTCTTTTTCTTTTTTTTTCTTTCCCTTTCTTTTCCCCCAGTTTCAGGTCTCTTCTGATTTGTTTAGTGTATATTTTTCTGCGGTAATTGTTACCCTGTAAGCATTTTGTTCTCTCATTCATCTATTCTCTTCTGGATGAAATGACAAGATGGAAAAAATCACCTCAAAAAAAAAAAAAGAACAAGAGACAGTACTGACTGCCAGGGGGCACCTAATCAATACGGACATTAGTAAGATGTTGGAACTATAGTTCAGAATGACGATTTTAAAGATACTAGCTGGGCTTGAAAAAAGCATGGAAGTTATTAGAGAAACCCTTTCTGGAGAAATAAAAGAACTAAAATCTAACCAAGTCGAAATCAAAAAGGCTACTAATGAGGTGCAATCAAAAATGGAGGCTCTAACTTCTAGGATAAATGAGGAAGAAGAGAGAATCAGTGATATAGAAGACCAAATGATGAAAAATAAAGAAGCTGAGAAAGAGAGATAAACAACTACTGGATCACGAGGGCAGAATCCGAGAGAGAAGTGATACCATAAAATGAAACAATATTAGAATAATTGGGATCCCAGAAGAAGAAGAAAGAGAGAGGGGGGCAGAAGGTATATTGGAGCAAATTATAACAGAGAACTTCCCTAATTTGGGGAAGGAAACAGGCATCAAAATCCAGGAGGCACCGAGAACCCCTCTCAAATTCAATAAAAATAGGTCAACACCCCGACATCTAATAGTAGAACTTACAAGTCTCAGAGACAAAGAGAAAATCCTGAAAGCAGCTCGGGAGAAGAGATCTGTAACCTACAATGGTAGAAACATTAGATTGGCAACAGACCTATCCACAGAGACCTGGCAGGCCAGAAAGGACTGGCATGATATCTTCAGAGCACTAAACGAGAAAGATATGCAGCCAAGAATACTCTATCCAGCTAGGCTGTCATTGAAAATAGAAGGAGAGATAAGCTTCCAGAACAAACAAAAATTAAGGAATTTGCAAACAGGAAACCAGCCGTACAAGAAATATTGAAAGGGGTCCTCTAAGCAAAGAGGGAGCCTAAAGGTAACATAGACCAGAAAGGAACACAGACAATACACAGTAACAGTAACCTTACAGGCAATACAGTGGCACTAAATTCATATCTTTCAATAGTTACCCTGAAAATAAATAGGCTAAGTGCCCCAATCAAAAGACACAGGATATCAGATTGGATAAAAAAACAAGGCCCAGCGATACGCTGTCTGCAAGAGACTCGTTTTAGACCCAAAGACACCTCCAGATTGAAAGTGAGGGGGTGGAAAACCATTTACCATGCTAATGGACACCAAAAGAAAGCTGGGGTGGCAATCCTTATATCAGACAAATTAGATTTTAAACCAAACACTATAATAAGAGTTGAAGAAAGACACCATATCATACTTAAAGGGTCTATCCAACAAGAAGATCTAACAATTGTAAATATCTATTCCCCTAACATGGGAGCAGCCAATAATATAAGTCACTTAATAACAAAAGCAAAGAAACACATCGACAAGAATACAATAATAGTGGGGGACTTTAACACCCCCCTCACTGAAATGGACAGATCATCTAAGCAAAAGATCAACAAGGAAATAAAGACTTTAAATGACACACTGGACCAAATGGACTTCACAGATATATTCAGAACATTCCATCCCAAAGCAACAGAATATACATTCTTCTCTAGTGCCCATGGAACATTCTCCAGAATAGATCACATCCTAGGTCACAAATCAGGTCTCAACCGGTACCAAAAGATTGGGATCATTCCCTGCATATTTTCAGACCACAATGCTTTGAATCTAGAACTCAATCACAAGAGGAAAGTTGGAAAGAACTCAAATACATGGAGGCTAAAGAGCATCCTACTGAAGAATGAATGGGTCAACCAGAAAATTAAAGAAGAATTAAAAAAAATCACTGAAACAATTGAAAATGAAAACACAACTGTTCAAAATCTTTGGGATGCAGCAAAGTCAGTCCTAAGAGGAAAGTGTATAGCAATACAAGCCTTTCTCAAGAAACAAGAAAGGTCTCAAATACATTACCTAACCCTACACCTAAAGGAGCTGGAGAAAGGAGCTGGAGAAAGAACAGCAAATAAAGCCTAAACCCAGCAGGAGAAGAGAAATCATAAAGATCAGAGCAGAAATCAATGAAATAGTAAAAAAACAGTAGAACAGATCAACGAAACTAGGAGCTGGTTCTTTGAAAGAATTAATAAGATTGATAAACCCCTGGCCAGACTT